TTAGGCATCCTATGTGACATTCTCATGCTATAACTAGAAACGAGTATTATTCTTACTCAGGGATGGAAAAATAGAGGCAGGAAGTCCACTCTTCATGGTATCCAACACATTTCCAGTAAGCAGTTACCGCAGCATGCTCTCCGAGGTTGGGAATCCTACAACACGTCCTTTGCCAACTCCCCCTTCCACCCCCAGCAGCAGCTCTTCCAGACCTTCATCGCCTTCCTCAACACCCCACACCGTATTCTTTCTTTTACTTCACTTCCAGCAGATTGACTTGGCCGTTTGTTTTTAAGAAAATAAAGGCAATCAAACCTTGTCTTCACTATCCTTTCCCCCAAACACCTATTTAGAGCTGCCAGGGGCAGATTCAGGTTTTGTGGTTCCTAAGCATACACAACTGGGGAAGGGGACATTTAAAAAAAAATGAATATGGAAAAAATCTTACTTTTACAAGTTTTATAAAAGCATATGAGCATGCTAAATCATTGCCACAGTCCCTCTCAGCGGCCCTGGAAGGAGTGGAGGGAGAGGAGCTGAAGGCCAAGAGGTCAAGCAGCCTTTGATAGCCACACTCATTCTTCTCTCCTCCAGAAGTGGCAGTTGTAGTCCTCATGGTCGTCCCAGTCCTTTTCCTCCTCCTCTTCCTCCTCCCATCCAAGGCCAATTCGTCCTGCTAGGCCCCAGATCCTCCATGAAGTCTCTGATTTACTTTTCCCCCCTCCTTCTTTATTGGATCGCTCACTTCAAGTTATAAATATGGTCCTGTTCCTTTCAACCTTAAAAACAAAGTAAGCAATCATCCCTAACCAAGTCAACTCCCAAATTCCTCCAGCCCCAAATTCCTTTCTAGCCACCCAGTTAACTTTCTTTCCTTTCACAACAAGATTTTGGAAAAACCACTTTCCTCCCTCCCCATTTCCCCTTTGTTTCTCAATTTATTGCACTCTTGCTTTGGCGCTCATAACTCTGCTGAAACTGCTTTGGCTAGAGTCACCAATGACTATTTTGTTCACTTTAAGTTTATTAGTGATTTTGAAAAAAGCAGCCATTTGAATTAAAAAAATAATTAATGGTTCCCATGGCTGCTCAAATAATAAAAAATGTCTAAAACAGAATTAAGTCTCCCCTACCCCTTTTAAGTAAGTACATTCCTCTGACTGTCCACCTTTGACAACTTCATGTTTACTGTCCCTACATTTTGCTTTGTCCAACCAAACCCAAAACAGATATATATGCGACCACGTAGGATTTCTCTCCCTTCCTCTTTCTCTTTTGTCTCTTTTTCTCTTCTCCCTCTCTCTCCCCTTCACTCCTTCTTTTCTTCTAAACAAAAATTCTATCACATTATATACACTATTCTGTAACTTGCTCTTCAATTAACAATATATCATTGCTATATTTACAAGTCAATACCTGTAAATCTATCTAATTCTTTTTAACAGCCATATAGTATTCCACAATAAGGACGTAATATTGTTCGTTAAACTATTCCCTTATTGAAGGGCATTCAGGTTCTTTTGATTAGGTTGAACCATGAAAACTTCCATTTTTATAAGCTTGTTTTTGTTTTGTTTGCTTTCTATTATAATGTTATAATAAATATCCATGTATATGCACCTCTATAAACTTTTGTTTCTACAGATAAATTCCAAGAAGTAGGGTTCTAGTTAAAGGTGGGTAAATTTTACTTCCAGATTGCTTTCCTAAAAGGTTCACGTAACGTATGCTCCCACAAACGACCTTATGGAAAGTTATAAATCACAATATCCTTTTTTCAGCACTTCTTGCAGGAGATTCTCCACAGCTGACATTGTATTTGTTGTTATTTTTATTTATTTTCTTTTTTTTTGTGCACACAAGGCGCGAGGAAAGCCCGATATTTGTCATTATTGACCATACCTTCTCTAGGGGCACACTTTCAATCCGTGTTCCAGCTGCCTCTTTTTGGTCTCTTTCTCTAGCTTCTCTTCTTCTGTTCGCCCCTAGATATTGTATACTATACAGTTTTACCCTGGCTCAGTTTTCTAATTAAGCTAAATGCTTTCCTTAGGTAAGTTCGTGGTTTCAGCTAGAATCTCAACCCTCAGTTCACCAGCCCAAAAGGTGACTTTACTTGGATTAGAAAAAAGGTGCCATTGTTTAAGATGTTTTACCACCATATCCCAGAAAACTGTGGTAATAACTATTCAATAACTGTTCAATATTTTACAATGTGACCTCTGGATTGTGTAGTATACAAGCTCCACCATTATCACCAACGGTTATTTTTTCCATTCTCCTCCTGAGTCCTAACTTCTATATCAGAATTGTCTACTAGGTATTTCCACCTGGATGTTTTACAGACACCTTCAATATAAAAAAGCCATTGTTTAACTTATCACCCACTTATTTTCTTAGTAAATGAGACTCCCATTGTACTCAGGTGGATAATTTAGAAACCTGGAAATCCATCTCTCTCTCAATTCCCATCTGATATGTTGCCAAGTCCTACTGCTTTGATCTCATCTTCCTCCAATTTTTTTAATCTCATTTCAATCCTCAGTGCTGCTGTCCTGATCATCCCTTTCATAGACTTCTCTACCATGTGCAAAATTCTTCAATGTCCACATTGTCAACAGACTAAAATTTAAACTTCTTAGCATGGCTTAAAAAATTCTTTATCTCCAAAGTATCATTTTTCAGCTGTGTATAATATCTCGATCCCCTACTTAGGTTATTAGCTTAAGGAGACTTAGGTTTTACCCAGTTCTCTATGATAAATAAGGACAGATACGGGTTTTGTGGGACTTGAAGCTTATACAAGCTTGTATAATACAATTATACAGAAAAAGTACAAAATTATCTTTATTTTGCAAAGAGGGTCATGGGAACACATTGTTAGGGCTCCTCCCCCGTCTTTGGAAGGGCCTGTGAAAGTGAGGGGTCTTGAAGGTTAATTTTCATTAGCTTCATGACTAACTACCTATAACTACAAATCATCTTGCAATACACATTTGGGCATGTATTTTCTTCCTCTCTCTGCCATTACTTCTCAAGGCTTCTAAGTTACGCCAACACCTTTCACCTTGAAGGAGGTGAGAAAGGAAATGGTCATTTATAAGCACCTATAATTTCAGGTAGTTTATGCATTATTTAATCTAGTCCACACTACCGGCCTGAAGGAGGTATTAGCCCCTATTTTAGAGATGAGGAAAACTGAGGCGCAGTGCATTTAAATATCTTGCCCAAGGTTGGTCACACATCTAATAACTGGTGGGGTTTGGATCCTAACCCACATTTTCTTCCAAATCTCATGCTTTCCGCATTACTTCATGGTGTCTCCACAGCCTCATTAGCTTCACAGCAATACAAGCTCCAGGCTATTGCTGAAAATTCTAGTCTCAGTCTTCTGTTTTGAGGAAGCCAGAATACAAAACTTTCAGAGTCCTGACCTGTTTCTTGGAAGAAGGTCATTTAAATTAATGGTGGCTAGACTCTCTCAGGTGAATTTAGGAGAAAGCGCCTTGGCTGTTCCTGTTTGCATACTGCTTACAGACCTGCATTGCCTTTGGTTCAGGTGCATTTCTTGGAAGGAGCAGAGTGTCTGAAGTCACAGACCTAGGATGGGGTCAGATCCTGCTATTTCCTACTTGAGTGGCCTTGGGTAAGTCATTGAACCTCTCACATTTTCATTTTCCTCCTCTGCTCAATGAAGATGGGAAGTAATAAAACCTGCCTCACCCCAGGCAGTTTTGACTATCAAAGCTGATAATGTGTGTGCAAGCACTAGTAAACTCCAATGTCACTGAGATATCTGTAACATTGTGGTAGTAGCTCTACTTTCTTGCCTATCAGCCTCCAGATAAGGGCTTGTGACAGCTGGGCAGAATGCACCCCATGGACCCCATCAGGGTTAATTTTTGGAATGCCTCTGCCTAGACTGAAGCCTGCCAGGTGATTTCAGGGGGCATCTGGGCCATTACTCCTGAACGCCCAGTGCACTGGGAGCGGCAGAAGCTGTGCAAAGTCAGATTCTGGGGAATCCTTTCCTTCTCAAGCGTGCCAAACGTTCATTATTATATGCAACTTGTAAAATCCTAACTACAGTTTTGTCCAACTGTCCCTTTGCTCTGTCTTAGGTGCTGACGCATTTATCTTGGAATTTTATCTGCCAGTTTAGAAATCTTTAGTTCTCGTCGGGGTTAAATCTGGGGACAGTCTATTCTTCTGGGAAGCCTGGAGAAAATAAAAATCTGTTTTGAACGGGCGTTTGAACATCCTTCACCAGACACAGGTTTAAAGGTCGTGTCACCAGCATTAGTTTTTATTTTTCTTAATAAAAAAAGAAAAAAAGATGCTTAGACAATTTCCAATCCCGAAGACTGAGCTCATCACCGCTTAACGGCATCCGCCGCGGCGCCTCAAGCGCGAAGCCGCGGCTCGGCGGCTCCCGGCCCGCCGACCCCGGCCCCCGCGGCAGTGGCACGGAGGTAGCCCGGCCGTCCCGGCCGGCGGCGGCCGCACAAAGAGCCAGGCAGGGGGCGGCCCGGCCGAGCCGCAGAAAGTAGTCCCGACCACGCCGGCTCCAATGTTTTTCGGCGTCGCTTCACGTCCTCCGCGGGGGGGGCGCCGCAGCGGCCGGCCCGGGAAAGAATCCCATTGGAATGCGCCGCCGGGAGGCCTTTTTTCCTCCAGCTCGCCTCTACCGGCCCGGCCCATCTCCCGGGGTCTCCACGTGGAGGTTATGCGCGCGGCCCCCGACTTCTCCTCCTGACTGCACGGGAGGCAGCGCCGAGGGAGGGGGCTCGCCCGCGCGCAGGGACACGACCGCGTCGGCGGCGGCGTTCCGTATCCCTGCGCCGCATCCTTGCGCCGCTGCGCGAGAGGAAGAGACTGAATGAGGAGCTGCGCGGGGGAAGCGGGGCGCCGGGGGAGGAGGCGGCGGGATGGAAGCAGACGCTGGCGTCGCGCGAGCCCGGGGCAGAGCGGCGCGCTAGGGAGGGCGGCGGCGGCGCGCGCGGAGCCTTGACGTGCTCCTTTCTTTCTTCTCTGTCTGGGAAGCTGGGAAGCATGAGCGTGCAGACCTGCTGCTGCGGCGGCCGCCCCGGCTCCTCGCCTCCCCCTCTTCTGGCCGCCCCTCGCCGGTGAGAGGAGAGAACGCGAGAAGGAAGATGGGGGCCGTCCTGAGAAGCCTCCTGGCCTGCAGTTTCTGTGTGCTCCTGAGAGGTAGGAAGAGTGTGTGTGTGTGAGGGGGGGAGGAACAGGAAAGTTGGTGGGATTTGGGGGGAGGTGGCCTTGTTTTGTGTGTTTGGGGGAGGGGAGGGAGGGAAAAGGGGAAGAGGAACGAGGAGAGGCCTGGTCGTGGGGAAGGAGAGAGAGAAAGGGGCCCGGGAGCAGGGGCTGTGCGCACCGCCTGGCCACAATGCAGACCCTTGCCTGGCTTTCCAGACCTTGTCTGGAGAGATCGGAGCCTCAGTCCGGGCTACCGGTCCTTGTGAACCCCTGGCACCCCGTTCTTTCGGAATGACTGAGTGTCCGTGTGCCACTTTCTGTCTGGAGTCATCAGGGAAAAGGGGCTTTGTACGTATTTTGGCTTTTAAAATGTTTGAGCCCAAGATGCTTTAACGTTGGCCTTCTCCCTCGGAGCCCCCCTTTTCCGGGTCTCTTAGGTGAACTTTTAAAGCCCTCTCCCAATTTTTCTGGGCTTTGTTACAACTAATAATTGGCTTCCGTTTGGGATGTAATGATCGTGGGTGAGAGCGCAGTTGGAAAGTGACTCTGGGGTTGTAGGTCGAGACTTTCAGCTTTGGGAATCTTCTGGGTTTCAGCCCATAATAAAATAGACACGTTGCCCTTGTAACCTCTGGTATGCAGGGCTTTCCCCTATTTTCGGAGTATGCAAGTGTACAGTTGGCACCAAGTGGGAGAGTCATCCTTGTGTGAAGGGTAGCCGGTCTTGGGACCTAAATCACCTTTTGCCGTGCACCCCGTGGGGCTGCTTGGCACTTTGGTAAATAACATAGACTGTTCTGGATAATTTGCTCTGGGAATCGCTTAAATTCGATGGTCCTGCGATGTTTAGAATTGGACTACAGAACTGACACATATGTTGTGACTTTTATTTTGTGACAGTTCACAAGGATTTTTGACTGGCCCACATGATTTTTGATAGCTCTTCTTAAACTTGTTAGTGTTGAAGTTGAGTCTGATGCTATTGAACATTTACCAGTGGAGGAATTTAAGCATTGCTTGATGCAGCGGCTTGTAGTTTTGGTTTTGTTGAAATTCTCACTGATTTTCACGGTCAGTTCTTCTCAGTTGTGGGACCACTGGAGTCTCTGTAGATTTTTAGGTATTTAACAAGCTAAACTTTTGTTAAGTCTGCCAAAACTTGCGAAGTTTACAGAACACGATAATAACTAATGATCTTATGACAGGTGTGTCATTTCTGTGTGTACAGTATTATATATTTTGGATGAGAGTGACCTTTTTTTTTGAGGAGGAGGAATTTTTTTTTTTTAGTTACTCTGTAATCATTATCCTGTTTGCATGATATATGACTTATACGTAATAATTACGACTTACTGTGAGCATGTTCCAAACTATTTCCATATGTAAAACCCAGACAGATAGTGTTCATTTGATTTTCATGGCAGAGAATTTAATGCAGTGTTATGTGCTTGCTAGGTTTAATAGTATCTGTTTATTTTATAGTATACACGATTGAAAGGGGTTTTGTTATACCTGTGAGAAACAATTATGTTTGACCTAAGAATTATGTATCTATTTCAAGACAGAAGGTTAATAGAGCTAACAAATAAGAGAACCACCTGATTGGTTAGAGACTTGGGGAAATCTAAATCTATAATTTGGGGTGCTTCTGATTACCCAGTTGTATTTCTTGTAGGGGAGGAGTGTGATGTAAATACTGTTTGTTTATTTTAACACTGGGATTGATTCCAGAGTTGGGTTTGTTCATTACTGGAGTTTAGAGAAGTTGCACTTGCAGTACTGTTTTGAAGTATGTTATGTAACAAGACCTAGAAGAGGTAATAGTTTAAATTGTCTCATTTCCACAAGCAAAGTTGTCAAAAGTGGAGCTCTCTTTTTAAATGTAGCAAAATAATGGTATAAGGTGGTCTTTGTATTTAACAGTACTGTACTTAACAGTGAGTGCATATTGCTTGTACTAACAGTGTCTTTTTTTGTTCATAATTTAGATTCTCTTCACTCCTCAATATTGTCATCCTCTGTTATACTAATGATACTTACTGAACCTTGGACTCCAAGGAGAAAAATGTGATTGATTTGTTGGTTTTAGATAATTTTTCTTCACAGAAGAGTTGGAGCTTTAACATTGGATGTTTGGTTATGTAAGAGTTTGGGAGAACATTTGTCCGGTAGCCCTGTTTAATCAATAGCTGAAAGCCAGAGAATGCTGTTATCAATAGTGCTGCATTCCTGTCTCTGCCTTTGGGTGACAGGGTGTAATGGAAAGATTTGGGAGTTTCAACACCAAAATCTTGGGTTTAAAGCTCACTATATTGTAACTATGGTTCTGCTCTGGTCAACTTCTGTGGATCTCAGTTTTTTTATTTTTTTGGAGACAGAGTCTTGCTCTGTTGGGTAGAGTACAGTGGTGTCATCATAGCTCACTGCAACCTCCAACTACTGGGCTCAAGTAATCTTCTTGCCTCCCGCATAGCTGGGACTACAGGCACGTGCCACCAAGCCCAGTTAATTTTTTGTACAGACAGGGTTTCACTCTTGCTCAGGCTGGTCTTGAACTCCTAAGCTCAGGCTGGTCTTGAACTCCTAAGCTCAGGCAATCCTTCCGCCTTGGCCTCCCAGAGTGTTAGGATTGCAGGTGTGAGCCATGCACCTGGCCTGGATCTCAGTTTCTTTACCTGTAAAATATGGGTAATGATACCTAATTTACAGAGTTATTGGGTGTATTGAATGAAGTGATGAATGTAAAGTGCTTTGCAAATACTATTTTTTGTTACAATTTTTGATTGTTTATGAACGTATCCTCAAATGCTGGAGATTTGAGATTTAATTTATAAGAGCCGTGAATTCTTAAAGGTGAAGGGTATCTTGACCATTCGACTTTAACCACTTTATTTGCGAGTGGGGAAACTCGGATTCAGAGCTATTATAACTTGATCAAGATTCTATAGCGAATTAATGGTAGAACGGAGATTTAGTATTCATTTTTTAGCAAATATGTATGTAATACCTACTGTATATCAGCTTCTGGTACGGTGGAGAGCAGAGCAGACATGTTCTCTGCTCTAATGGACCTCACAATTTAGGTTGCCATTCTCACCACTCTCGTAGTTCCATTCAGGCACTAATGAGAAAAAATTATATCTGATTTTCTAGAGGAAATATTTTTGATAGGTGTATAAATTGGAATATCATGAGTATGTATAATCTGTGTAAATACCACACCTTAGCTTTTTTTTGAGAAGGCTTTTGTTATATGAAAATTCTTTGCTACTTCTTTGTTTTGCTTTGGTAGGATGGTGGTAAATACTGTCAGAACAAACACTAGTGTTTCCCATCTTATATTTCTAATAAAGCTTTTTACTTTAAAATCATGTGTTATAAACTCTTGGGGAGGTAGAATGAATTTTGGAATGGGAATCAGAATTAGGTTATGGCTCTAAGTTTGCCATTAGCTAGCTGCGTGACCTTGGGCAGGTCACTTAATCTCTGTACACTTTATTTGGAAATTCATAATTCATGTTAACATGTTAAGGGCCCTGAGAAGTCCTGAGGTAAAGGACCAGTTTTAACTTTATTTAACACAATATTTCCCAAACTTGACAATTAATTTTTTCATAAATCCTTTTAACATTCTGTTGAACCTTTGTTCAAAGAACCACACTTGGAGAGAACTTAGGCTAGTTAATTCTTTAAGTATTAGATTGATTCATGTGAATTGTTGCTATTTGGTGGCAATTTCATATAGTTCAATCTTGTATTTTTATCCCTACTTACTTACTTGGCCTTAGGTTTGCTCATATGGCTAGAAAATAATTTGGTTATGAAACTTTAAGGTTTTAGTTTGTTGTTACCAGAAGGGCTAACTGATTTCCCATGGTTCTGTTTTTTAGAGAATATTTTTCTTTGCTTTAATTGGAGGCTTTTCAATGTGTCACATGGAACTACTGTGTCTTTATACATGCTTTGGCTATCAAAAGTACTTTTTTGAATATCAACGGAGATTCTCTGAAGGGATACATAACTGGAAAGTATTTTATGAGAACTTGTATTTTTGTTTGAATATTTTGAACATATTGGAAAAACAAGTAAGACAGGTTGTAGTGCTATTTAGGCCATGGGTAAGTACTCTGAGAAAAATCCATTTTCATCATGGAAATTTTGTCTAAAGTTTATATTTGGAGAAGATTATAAAGAAGGGTGCTATAGCAGAAAGGTATGGGCTTTGTTGTCAAACAGGCAAAGTTTGAATCTTCTGCCACTTAATGTAGCTTTGGACAAGTTACTTAGCCTTAATTTCCTCTCCTGTTAGATGGGGATAGCAACTTACAAGATTTTTCTGAGAAGTGATGAGATGTGAAGGGGTAATACAGTGCACAGTTAATAGTAGACATTGAATAAATGGTTGTCATTGTTAACATGGCCAAATTAAAAGAAATATTAATGCTCGGGAAAGACTGGTAAAACATTTTAAGTGTCTACTGTGTGCTAAGTACTGTTTTTGGCAGTTGACAGTTTTAGGCTAGTGGTCTTTGAACTTTTTTTTGACTCTTCTGTGACTGAAATAAAAGCTCCATGAAATACTTTTACTTCTGACATTTTCTATTTTGTTTTATGTAAAATAGAATGGCCACTACTGAATTTATTTTACCTTCTAAAGGGTTGCAACCATAACACTTTTTAGGTGATGATTATTATTAAATAAGCTAGAGAATAGATAGTTCATTGTGATACTTATTTACTTATTAAAGAGTTAAGGATGGGCAAAATAATTTTATCAAAACATTCTCTAATTGAGAAATTGTATTATTTATTTACAATAACTAAAATTATTGAATTGGTGGACTTCTCCCAGTATAATCAATAGATGCTATACTGAGTTTCTGCATTACATGTTTCACTTTTTGTATGCATGTTTATCTTTTGTAAAATAAGCCTCATCTTAATGAATAAAACATTGCTCCATGTGAATAACTTTGTTGTTTCAGCTCACTGCA